CAGGGGTTGAGAAGGGCACTGTTATGATAGACCCAAAAGAATGATGCCTGGGATATCTTATAAATAATTATTTCCTATATTTATATTGATGTAGCATAGCCCATGTTAAGAGTGAGAGGTAGAAGGATTATTGTTAAGTGTGCATGGCAGAGAACTTACCAGCTATATCCAATAACTATTGCATTCAATATTAAAACTCTTGATACACAAAAATGCTAATCAAATGAGCTTAAAACCCATTCATACATTTTGTCCCCTTTAGCTTTCTTTATAATCTTGTTACTTTCAATACATTGCCTTTGGAAGGGTATAAGTGCAAAGGGCATATTTGGGTTATACTAGGGACATAAAAGGGGAAAATTAACAGAATAAGAGAAGACATGAAAAAAATCCCTTTTAAAAACTTTTAACTAGTAATGGTTCACTTCATTATTTGACTGAAGAAGTTTGTTCTCACAATAAAAATAACACAATCCATTAAAAAAAAAAAAAAGTCTGAGAATTCCAAATTTGAGTAGATATGAATTAATGTTTGAAACTTATTTTTTCTTACATATTAATTTTATATTAATCTTTAATAAGAATAATTATCTTGTTTGAGCCAGTTGTGTGTTTTAGTGTGTGGGAAGTGAAGATGAACAACTTCTTGGATCTTATTGATGAAATCTTTAAAATCCCTTTGCATGATGTATCCCAGCAATAGAATTGCTGATATTGCACTGAGTATATTTCAATATTGCCAGTGTGTATTTCGAAACAAATTCTTATATCTACACTAAGATTTCCTCTTTCCCAATGTTCAAAATGCATATTATAATTACATGGGTTTCCAACATCCATACACAGCAAGTACAAGATACTTACATGTAAGTACACTGTAGTTACCTATATTTTTGCATAGTTTTTAGTGTGTACTTTGTGCCACTTAATAAAAAGCATTACTCATCAGTAATTGTCATTAGGGTTTTCATTTATTTCAGCTGTGATTGCTGGATTGTTTTTTTTTTTTTTTCCCTTTTAATTTTCATATATTCATTACAGATTACCATTTGCAAAGGGCAAAAAATAATATTAGGTATTTTTAAAGGGCTCTACATAGTAATATGAAGGGGAAGTTGTAGTTCAAGGTACAAGAGTTTGTACTTTCTCCACAATTAAAGTATTTAATGTGAAATTCAATATTTATCATCCTTTTTATGTGTATGTCCAAAGAAAAAGAAAAAGTAAATTTTAAAGGTTCCCCTTGGTAACACTTTGCAATAAGTGGCACTAAATTACACGATAACTGCTATGTTACATGGAAGAGCCATCACTGTCAAAGAGCTGCTATACACGTGTGTATATGGAGTCTCAATGCTGTTACAATCATGAGTACATAATTACAAGTGAGTTTGTCCTTTTTAATAATTGAGATATTTATATTTTTACAAAGAAATAAAAATAAATGAGGTGCTGGCTTCTTTGCCATGTTTAGGAAAGTTGCTTTGCTTTCTCTGTTACTTTGTGGGGTTTCAATGCAAAATTAACCATCCTGAATCAATATGAGATTATTATTTCTAGATTAAACTTCAATATCAGGTTCCTTAAATTGCTTCTTGGATTCTCTGATGAAAATAAATGAGTTGAAATCTCAATCTCTCTTTCTTTCTCTCTTTGTCTCTCTCACACACACACATGTACACACATTCTTTGTTCATGTTCTCTATTGTTTCTCTTGCTTTCACAAACTTTCCTTTTTTCTTCCTGATTTTAACAATTATAATAGGACACTCAAAATGGAAAAAAAAAGAAAAGAAGAATGCTGTTCGATTTTTTTTTTTTTTGGATAGAGTACAGTCAATTTACACTGTAAATAGTACACTGAATACACTGGCAGATAATAGCTACTTTTGATAAAGAATAATGTTCCATATTCTACTAGGGATATGTGGGTGTGTTGAGGGATGTACTCTTTCCATTGACCTCCATAGCTACTGTGCTCACTTAGCAGAGACAGAATCTGGCTCTATGTGCACAATTTACTTAATATATATTTTTTTTATGATTTGTATAAGTTTAACTGAACAGAACTTTTATAATTTATTTTCTTGTTTGGTGAAAATAAAATAAATTTTAAAGAAGAAATCTAATTGCATTCCTAGCTTCTGATTTTGACTAAAAGAAAATTACATCTAATTCAAAACTACCTATATTTAACTGTTGAAGCATTTGTTTAGAGCCCACAAATAATAAGAGTCCAGTTAGATATTTTTGAGTTTTAAGTGTTTATATGACACTGAAGGGTTAAAAGAGCCAAAAAACTTGAAATGGACCCAATTTTGGATTTCTAATTTTACAGTGCTATAAATAATGATTGACTTATTTAAGCAACAATTTAGCAGTTGGAGCCAAGTAGAATATAGATGAAATGAAGAGGGATGTAAACATAGCATTGATGAAGAGTAGCAATTTTGTAAGTGCATCCTGAAATTAGGCCTTAAATAGTAATTGATGATGCAGTTTATATAAAGTATTTCTGTAATAAGAACCTTTCTGTTTTATACGAACAGGATGAATTTTGCTTTGTGAAGTCTTTCTAAAGATTATGCATTGAAAGATATGAACAGTTTATAAACCTATTCTAGTTTCAATGTGTCTAGTAGCACCTACCTGATTCTCTCAAACTACCATACTATATTAACATATTATTGCATTTTTCCACAGATGGCATGGAGTGAACTGTAAAAACAAGCATGCAATCACATCAATGCAGACTTATTTCCTTAAAATGTCATACTGTATATGATTTATTATGTTAACACTCAACCACATCATATTATTTATGTTCTGTATATTCTGAAAAAGTGCTGCTTGACTGACATCGTCCTTTTTCTTTATAAGAAATCAACAAGATAAATGCTTCAACAACAAAAAAATTTAAATTTCTAATGTTATCCTTGATTTATACTTTTCTGATAAATAATCTAAGATACAGCACCCTTGTCTTTCATTTGATATTAACACATGATGTCATACTCAACCATTCTCATACCCCAAAAATAAATTCCAAGATATTATTTTTAAAATCATAGGCCATCACGCTTTTAGACATCACAAGTATAACTAACATAGAGTCATATTTGTTTTCTTCTTAAAGGTGCAATGTTTGCAAATGGGAATATAATTTTATCTAACTGGATTTTTTATTCTTTAGTAGATAATACATTTCATGAGAATTATTCTAGCAGTATTTTATTTTACTAAAAGAAATAATAAGACTTTAGATTGACTCTGTCTCATATTTAAGAATACAACATTTCTTAATGGTTAAATACTCCAAAATTTCAGAAATAATTCAGAGAAAGAGACTTTCACCTTGGAGTTAAAAGCATGGCAGAAATTCTCTATCACTCACTGTTTCATAAGTTTGTACCTCACAAAATGCATAGACAGGAATTTAATATAAAGAATTAGTTCATTTGTACAGAAAACATATCTTTAACACTTCTTTTTGGCAAACCAACAAAGGTAAGCAGCTCTGGAACTGCCAAATTAAAATTTGTAAATTTTTACCAAACTAAGAGTTTATTTTTAGGTTATTATTAAACTGCGGTTGTAATTTAAAACCTGAGGCTGTGCACTGGTTGTTAGCTTAAAATTACCTTTCCTTATAACATTGTGCTTCCATTGTATAACAAATAAAAATTAACAAGAACTAGAAAAGGTTGCTGTTGAACAGTGCTAGGACATACAGACAAAAGTACTAATACATGTTATCTACTTATAATATTGGTTTAAGTAATATCTAAAGGGATATAATGGACATTAGAAAATGCTTACTTATGACTGAAGTACCTACAGCCAAAAAAGTTAAATATGTATCAAATAATGTTTAATTGGATTTATTATATGCACTATATACAGATACTAAAATGTCTCAAAATTGTGCCCTATGGATACTTCAATTTTGTGTAGGCAGGTGGCAGGTGAGTCTTTATGGAGTAAATAAATTATAGAATCAAATTAGAAAAAAAAAATGAATGAAATTTTTGTGAATCCCAAAGCAGTGAAATGTTTGGAACAATTTATTTGTAAATGAAGCTACATTAACCTAATGCTAGTATTTATATAATTATATAAGATGTCATGATCACAATCCATACACATGGCTCCTGTATCAAATACTATATATTTAAGTAGCAAATTGATACAGTGTTATGACCATAATCTCAAACATTCCAGAAACTACACTTCAATATTTTCACTTTGTGTTTTCTAGGGCATACGTTTCCAAAACATATTGTTTTTGAAGACCCCAAACTCAAATCCATTGTTGTGGAATAGATTCTGATTCATAGTGACACTATAGGACAGAGTAGAACTGTCTCATAGGGTTTTCAAGGCTGTAAATTTTTATGGAAGCAGACTGCCACATCTTTCTCCCATAGCCACTGGTGGGTTCGAGCCCTGATATTTTAGTTAGCAGTCAAGTTATTTAACCACTGTACCACCAGGGCTCTTCTTTTTTGAAAACAGACATGTAGAAAACATTGTTTGCATACCTCTAATCTTCTTTTAACTTAAGCACACTAGCTCTTCCTAATGTTGTTACTTGTAAAAGTTGTCCAATGGCAAACTGATAAGGTCTACGATGTTAAGAGGAAAAAATGGGAGGAAAAAAAAAAAAAAAGCATACATTTTTTCAATGTATAAAAACAATTCAATATTATAATCCAAGGAGATGATTAACATTGTTAAGGCTGTATATTCAAGCACTGTATGTTAATAGAGCAATGGTGTGAAATTTAGGCAGTAGGAAATGTCCTGCATTATGAATGGTACGGTAATTAAAGAATGATGCTTTTGACAGCTGATTGTTGGTCTACACTGGCTACGGATAGCAGTACAGTATGGAAGTTAATAAAGGTAGCAGAAGATGGTAGAAATGAATTCTGAAAGATGATAGCCAGTTTTCTCCAGCAGCCAGCCTGTTAAGTAAAACTCAGAATCTTGGCCTGCATTTAAATGAAATATTCTTTTTTCTCTTCAGCATTGACTTGGCTGCCTTCAGCATTGATAATGGCTGTGTCAGCATCTGGTGCATCTTCTGCTCCTTTAGCTTCATTTGTTAAATATGTTCCTGTGGATAGTCGAAGAAAATCAGGTTAGATCTGTGATATTAGTACAGGAACCACCACTAAAAATACATTTATTTAGGAAAATATTTTTGCTAGATTGCTTATATCTTGAAACACATTTGGAGACATAATAAATGACAAAGTACACCCTTCCAAAATTGTACACTTTCTTTCAGTTTTCAAGTATATGTTGTAGGTGAAGTGGTGGCCAAGTTAACTACAGGCAAGAGCCAAACTGAAATGCGTCATAAGTAATTTTGATTTCTTTAAAGATGAATACAGACCATGTGATCCATGCAGCTGTAGCAATCAGGGTCTTTTGTTTAGGTGATGATAATGATCACATCAAATGTGTCAACATTCATTATGGTAACTCCATTTAAAAGTGAACTATACTAATAGTTTGCTACCTGGCTCATTGCAAAAAAAAAAAATAAATAAATATGGCCACATGTGTCACTATAAATCTACAAATAACACATAGACCAAATGCCTAATGTAGAAGAGACAGATATTTTACAGTTAGATTTTAGACTTAGATAAAAATGACAAACCTGCAGACAATATTTTTTCACAGCCAGTAGCTCACTCTGTAATGATATCCATTGGATAGTATTATTTTGTCTAGGGTAACCCAGATCTAAAGTTAAATTTAAAAATCAACAACTCCTTAGAATTTAGAATTTAGACTAATCACTCTCCCTCTTACACATCCATATACACACTGTAATATTCCTTGATGAAATTCATCTTGAGAAAATTTTGCTGCTGAAGTTAAGAATAGTTTTATTAAACTTAACATACCTTTATGTCTTGCCAGATATCGACCAAGCAGGAATATAGAACACAGCGTAACAAATACAACTACAGCCACTATTCCTCCTATAAGAGCATGGTCAGGGCCAGTCTGGCCAGCCAGAGCATTGGGATCTGGAAAAGGGAAAGAAATATTGTTCTAATGAGTTTATTATTTAGTCACAAAGTAAACTTCTGCATTAGAATACGTTATTTTGAAAATCAGCAAATTTCTTTTGAAACATTGTATTAGTGTGTATCACACCCCTCAATTTATCAAATATTTATTGTGGGCCTATAAAGAAAAATATACATGGGGACATAGACATAACACTTGACACATCAATCATTATAGTCATGGAGCTTACATTTCATGGGAAAGAATGGATAAATATGCATGTGATTCTGTATCATGATATGTCTTTCCTTCCCTCTCACCTTTGACTAAAAGAAATTTTTTTTCAGTGTGACAACCACAGCTATACAATTGAAAAAAAAAAAAGAAAGAAAATTATGTCATGGGAAAATCTGGGTTTGGAGATAGTAATTTAGGACTTATCAGTATATAAATAATTATATAAAACCATGGACATGGAATTCCCGAGTGTGAATATAGACAGAGAAATAGAGATCTTGAGAATTGATCCCTGAGAAATTCCTGTACTTAAAGGCTCTTCAGATGAAGTAATTTCAGCAAAGGTGACTGCAAAGGAGGAAACACTAAGGTAGCAGGAAAGCCTTGAGGATGCAATGCAACAGATCAAAGGGAAAAATTTTATGAAGGTGGAGAGTTAACAACTTTATGAAATGTTGATAGGGAAAAAGATAATGACTCAGTATTGATGACTAAATATTTCTTAGATTGTAGTTCTAGAAGAAGTGGCTGAAAAGAGGCAAATTTATAATATACTTTTACATTTTGCCTTTAGTGAGGTATTGCAGGAAAAAAGAGGTATTCAGAATAGAACAGCCAGTTTTTAAGCATAACTGAAAAGATCAAAAGCAAGTCCCCAGAAACTATATACTCAAAACTTGGAAAATTAACTATTTATAGAAGCCATATGCAAAGAGAGGAGATGAGTGAAGCTTTGAGTAACAAAATCCATTAAGGCTCAGCCCTAAGGCAAAGATCAGATTGAGTGCACTGCACTGCTTTCCTTCTCAAATCCATTGTTTCAGGTGTTAACAATTTAAGGGAGATTTAGGGAAAGGAGAAAATCAAGAAATAAATTACACTTGGCAATTATGTCTTCAAAATCATTGAGTGTTGTTACAGACACAAGAATCTGACAAATATATAAGAAGTCAATGAATTTTTAGTAAAATTGTAGTGCTAATGGAACACTTGTCTAGATATTAAAAACACAAAACTGAAACTTCAAATAACCTCCAGACACCTAAATTTGGAGCAAGTAAAAAGTGGACTATAAAAGCTGTGTAATATGTAAGAAGAGCATCTTCCCCAACACACATTCCATTTGTGGAAAAGAGTTCCTGAAGAAAGAAATTACAAACAAAGTCCTAAATTATAAACTGTTTATACGAACTCATAAACCACTTGCAAGACAATACTTTGTACTTTCCATGGAGTATGAATGACAGCTTTAAATTCTCCAGAGTGTAAAACTGGGAAAAACAGAAAGAATGAAGAGAGGAGAATTAGATTTTCTTCAGAGAACTATGATTGCCAAGGAACAGGACCAATTAACACCAGCTGACATGGTTTCATATTTGCTATGAATTGGTGACTAGTCTGTATTTTCCATTGTTCCTTTATTTCCAAAGGGGAGAATTTCTTGTGTTTCTCCTCCCTCTGTCTAATCACTATGTATTTTATATGGAATAATTACGTATGTCAATACTTGTCTTTTTGGTTCATTTATCCTTGGACTAATATGCATAGTTCTGATAAAGAAGATCCTGCATAGGTCCCAGAGCTTGAGTTGGAAGCATTGACTTTTGAGATTTTGATTTGGCTCTTTGTAGAGTCTTATGGGTTGAACTGTTTCTCCCAGAAACATGTGGTGTAAGCCCTAACCTCTCTGACTTTGTTTATAATCTAATTTGGGAATGGTTTGTCTTTGTTATATTAATGAGGCAGGATTAGTATGGTTGTGTTAAGATATAAAAGAGATTAAGTGAGCTCAGAGAAGATGGTGTCATACCCCACACGTTTGTTCCATCTAGCATTTTCATTTCTGAATAACTAGATAAAGCAGATAGAAACAAAGATACTGGAGTTATGAGCAATTAAGGCTAAGATAAGATACCAGATTTAGTGGAGGCAAAGGAAAAAGAGCATATTAAACAATTGGGGAAAATAAATGAAACTGCCTATCTGGCAGAAGGACGGAGAAGTAGAGGACTCATTAGCAATACAAAAGACATTGAAGGAGAAAAGGATGGAAAAAAAAAAAAAAAAAAAAATCATAGAACCCAGAGACAAGATGGGGACTCATAATACTCACATTGGGAGTTTTTGACAGAGACCTTGGGAGCTGAAGTGAGTGAGTAGATAACCTTACTGGGAAACAGATCAAAACCTTACTTGGCTTGACCTGCTGAAGAGTTCAGAAAGGAGTGGAGGAAAGAGGGAAACTCCCTCTGACTAAGCAGAGCCCCAGAGTGAGAGCACAGCAGCGAGATGGGGTTCAGCTCTTCCATGACCACTTCTTGGCACAGAGTGGAATAGGGTACTGGGCTTTTGTGGCTCCTTGAGCCAAGCAGAAAGTAGTGGCCCACTACCCACTGGGGTCTCTGTTAATTTTGAACCATGGGTCTTTGGTTGATAGATGACATCATCATTAGTAGACACCCCAGGAAGACACAAACCACACTACTTGAGCCAGCAGCATCTTGCCTTAATGTGGAAAACAGGGACTTGCTAGAGTTCTTTTTTTTTTTTTCTTTCCTTTCCTTTTTTTTCCCTCCTCCCCTGCCTCATCCAGTAGAAGGAACACACTAAACTACCACAACATCTCCTCATCCCAACTCCAAATCCCCTTCATAACAAAGAGAGACCTGCATCCACACCCCCACCAGTGATTCCACCAATGCAAAGAAAACTGCAGAGCAACTAACAGCCCAATTAATAACTAAAAAAAAAAAAAAAAAAAACCTGCTCCATACTCTCAGATATAGTAAAACATAAAATCAGGGTGAAACAAATCAATAAATAACTAACAGTTAAAGATAGCAACTTAAAAATGTCTAGGAAACAACACACTACCTCAAATTAAACAAACAAACAAACAAACAAACAAACAAAAAACAGGAAAAGACAATAGAAATAAAACCCCAGGCTAAAGAATGATTTATCATGGAAGAAGAACAAACAATGGAATTATCTGAGAAGGATTTCAGAAGATATGCATATAGGACCCTCCAAGAGCTCAAAGAAACCACAAACAGAATCAATGAGAAAATAGACAGTAACCTGGAAGAATTCAGGAAAACCATTCAAGAAGAAAATAACAAGATAAATACACAATTAGAACTCATTCAGAAACAGCAATTAGAAATTCAGAAGATGAACACTAAAATTACAGAGTTAGACAACATAGTGGAAGGACAAAAGAGTAGACTAGAACTGGCTGAAGAACACATTTCTTAACTAGAAGACAAATCTCTTAATGCCAGCTTGTATGAAGAAAAATCAGAACAAACAATTAAGAAGAAATGAAAAGTTATATGGGATGGCATGAAAAGAAACAACATACACCTCATTGGAAGACCAGAACAAGGGGTGGGGGGACACTCAGAAAATTGAGAAAGTCTTGCTAACAGAAAAATTTCCCCGTATCATGAGGAAAGTAAAGATATCAGTCTAAGAAGCGCAATGAACCCCTTACAGGATACACCCCAAGAGAAAGTGATGATGACATATTATAACAAAATTCTCTCAAATCAAAGACAAAGAAGGAATTTTGGGAACAGCTTGGGAAAAATGAAATGTCACCTATAATAGACAGCCAATAAGACTAAGTTCTGATTACTCAGCAGAAACCATGCAGGCAAAAAGGCAATGGGAGAGTGTATATATAAAACACCAAAGGAAAGAAACTTTCAACCAAGAATTCTACCTTCAACCACATTGTCGCTCAAATATGAGAGTGAAATCAAGACATTCTCAGACAAACAGAAATTAAGGGATTTTGTGAAAAACAGATGAGCCCTACAAGAAGTGCTAAAGGGATTCCTTCTGATAGAGAACTCACAAAAGAGAATAACAAATTAAAATCAGGACACTTGATATTAACACTTAGAAACCAAACCAGAAATTGATACTCAAAATAACTTCATAAAACAATGTAAAAAATAAAGGAGTCAATCTGTAGATAACATCAGCACCAAAGCAAATAGAGAGAATAAAAGTTCTAATTACAAAACTTCCAAATGAAGAGGAAAACAGGACAATGTCTTTATAGAACTGACTGTTCCAAACTTAAAGAACATAAGAATTTACTTAAGGGTAACCACAGAGAAAATTAGCAATCCCCTTAAGCAAATCCAGAAAGAAGAAACTATTTGGGCTTAGTAAACACAAAAACCAACAATAATGAAGAAAAGAGAAGAAACACTTGATGAAAAAATGAGCTCAGCACAGAAGATATGGACCAACACAACAAAAACACAATAGAATGACAGCAATAAATTCATACCTATCACTAGTTATACTCAATGTGAATGAACTAAATGCACCAGTCAAGAGAAAGTGATCAAGAGAAAGATTCTGATTAGATAAGAAGACCCATCAATATGCTGCTTATAAGAGACACACCTTAGACACAAAGATAAAAACAAATTAAAAATTAAGGAGTGGGAAAAAATATACCAAGCTAATGGCAACAACAACAACAAAAAAAAAAGAGCACAAGTGGCAATATTAATTTCTGATAAAATAGACCTCAAGGTGAAAAACAGCATAAGGGAGAAAGGACATCATATGATGCTAAAAGAAGACATCATCATAATTAATATGTATGCACCCAATGAAAATGCTCCAAAATATGTAAAACAAATATTAACTGAATTTAAAGGAAAAATAGACAACTCTACAATAGCAGTGAGAGACTTTAACACATTATTTTCAAGGAGGGACAGAATAACTAGAAAAAAAAAATCAACAAAGATAC